TATAATTATCCTGTTACAGAATCTTAAGTGTGGGATTATTCAACCAGTAAACCAGAAGCATCATCTATGTGCTTTTCTTTTCAATATGGAAGTTTCTGTCAAAATAACAATTCCAGGAGACCAGTTTAAAGATAAGTTAATGTACTAAAGGAAGTGTAGTAGCCCATTTAAATGTAAAATATTACATATGCAATTTTTTCCACATTAACTTAATTAATACTGTACTGTATTTTGTATATTAAAAATCCTTAAGTACCACAAAACTGCAGTCATGAAAATTGTTTTGATGTTTTCTATCTTAGGTCAGTGGTGCAGTGTATTAGTATAACAGTCTAGAAAGTTAGTAATGGTAATGTCTTCTCACAGACATAACAACATAGGATAAAAACCCACACTAGTGTATTTGTGAAAACTATGTAAGGAAGTTACACCGTCTTTTGCACTCTCCTGAGTGCTTTGTCAAGGTCTGAGTGTGTAATTAGGATGAGACTTACATCTCAATGTCTAATGAGGCTGCTATCCTAGGTTCAATCCTCTCATCCTTTTTGACTGCCTGACCATGTTACCTCTATTCCCAAGTGCTGGTGTACCTGCAGTAATGCCTTCTAAGGAAATATGGTCACGAGTTCTTTCTCTAATCCTGATATTCTGGGAACTGGAGTTGTTATTAATAGAGGTGTTCATCTGGATGCCATCCTTCGTAACCCTCTCCATACCCGAAGGAATGCGGCTTATGGGACTTTTCATTCATTCATTTACTGAGATCTAATTTTAATTCACTCAATCATTTTCCTAGTGAAGTTATCCTCCAAAGTAAAGCTTTTGTTGCCAGCAAAAGTATTCAGAGAATCTATTAGATCCCCTTCCACTACCCTTCTAGTTCTAATATTATTATTTTTATAGATAATCTATAAATTATAATCTAGAATCTTTGATATTAGGCAGAGTTTTGGAAACATAAAGGTGCCCTGGACGTGCCTGTTTTAATGGGTTTATTCTTTGTCCAACATTCCGGAAGGCTACCATGCCTCTGGTTTACCAGGTGTTTGCATCTGATTCTTGGCCCATTTCACTGCATCTTCAGGATGCTTATTGACATGTTCCCCATCCACCTACCATTCAAGAATTGGCTGAGGATCAAAGTTTGACACCCCTGAACTTTGCAAAAACAGTCTTCATCAGACCAATGCATGTTCTTTTCTAGTTCTGGCATCGCTGGCATCTCAGGTTCTGACTTGGCTGGGACTGGATCTTAAATACCAAGATGGCTTCCCTTGAGTACCTTTTGGACAGTGTGATATTCACCTGTGTGATTGAAGCACTCTACTTCTTTCTCCTGTGTGTGACCTTTTGTAACACCTTGGACCATTTTGCCTGAAGTGAATTCTGCATCCTAGTCAGGTTTTTGGGATTACTTCTGTGGCATCCTCTTTCATCATTTGAGCGAATCACAGGTGTGTAGTACTTAGCTGGGGCTTCATCTCTAGCTTTCACCACACTGGTCATGGGTGGTGAATTTGCATTGGACACACACCAGATTGCAAGTGTGTTTAGTGGGCTGGATGGCATTTCAGAGTGTCTTGTCTCCTGCAAGGCTCTGTTCTCTGTCTTCATTTGGATTGTGTCTCGGTGGTTATGGGGATCCAATTTGCTCCCTTTCCCTGTGAGCTGAACTTTTATGACTGGCCTCATTTCTGGATTCATGGGATTTAGTCCACAGTATGGTTCATATTTGAGGAGGGGGGGGGGGCATGGAGGGGAGAAGTTGAATGATTTGTCTCCTTGCTGTACAATTACTACAGGGCGTACGGTGCATGAGGCCAGCTTCCTCTTGCCATGCAAGACATTCGTACATCCAACCGTAGACCCATTTGCCTCCATGTATAGGCAAACCACATCTTTGTGGCATTTCCAGAACACACAGCATTCACAGTGGACATCTGCAGCCAAAACCAAAATCTGCATGAAAATTACCTTGATAGACGACACTAAAATTGAACGAACAAATGTCAGTGAAGTCTTCCACTGGGCAATTGAAAATAACATGATTTTTAATAGTGATAAATTCCAAATACAATACTTGTACTGTATATGAAAATTCAAGAACTTAAACAAAAATACAGGATACAAGATGTAGTCAGATCTTCTCGTATTAGGAAAATGACATGTATAGGATCTGTGAATAATGATGTCAGATAACCTAACTTTAGAGAGGATATCAAAGCAATCCCGGAAAGAGATAAGAACTCCTTAACAATTTTAAATCTGTATTCCCTAGGGATAATTATTTACACTTGGAAAATACTAGGAGGACTGGTTCCAAATCTGCACACAGAAATAACCCCCCATGAGACCAGAAGGCAAGGCAGGATATGCAAAATATTCCCATTGAAAAGAAGAGAGGCAATAGGCATGCTGAGAGAAAACTCGATCAATGTCAAAAAGCCCTAGACTTTTCACCACTCTCCCTGTACACATACAGGGCATAACTGGCCGACCTCTCGCAGTGTTCATAAGAGAATTTAATAAACACCGTCTGAGGATACCAGAACAGACTGTAACTCATATATCAGGCTGCGAGCAGCCACATCGAACTGATTGACCAGACTAATAATCAAGAGGCCTTGTTCAGAGACAAGATTTTGTCTTGGGGACGTTGATCCTTGGAATCATTGGCAGGTATACGACAGGTGGATTATAAGAACCATCAGATCAAGGGATTCCACTACACTGCTATTCCGTTTCAAATCGCTAGTGCTTTCTCACCTTGAATACAGCTTGGTACTCACTTCACCCTTTCAATACTGAATGGATTTCTAAAATAGTGTAAGAGGAGTTCACAGAACATATACAGCGTGCATAGACACAGCACAGCACCTAATTTATTATGACCATCTCAAAGCACTGAAAATTTATTCTCGAGAAAGAAGAGAGAGGAATTACATGGTACTGTACATACTGTATTATACATGGAAGATATTGGGATGCCAGAACCTCAAATATACTCAACAAAATAACAACTTACTTGATCAAATGATATGGTAGGAAACTTGAGAACAGACCCAGTGTAGAGTAGAGGTGCCAGAGGCACAATTAGAAAATACTGTCTGAACATCAAAGGACCATGGCTCTTCATCCTCCCACCAAATACTGTATTAACAATATTTCTGGAACACAAGTGGAGCTTTTCAAGAGACAATTGGACAAGAACCTGCAGGAAGTCCTGGATCAATCAAGTTATAATGGAAATGTGGGCCTGTGGGCTTTCCAAGCAACAGCCTTTCAGATCAAGTTATGAGAGGACAATTGGGGAGTTGAAGAACTTCCGTAACCAACTACTGTACAGTATGGGGTAAACCCTTTCTCTGACTATCTTGGGTATATTTCCATCATAGACCAGCTCACACTCCTTTGGAGCCTTCCTGATCTTTGAATTATGTATGGAAGTTCTTGTCTTATGCCTCGCTTTTGAATTTACTCCATGGTTGAGGACTTGTTTATAAGGTAGCTTATTTTTCTGGATTTTGCTTTTGGTTGTAGGGTTGGGAAACTTTATTCTCTGTGTTGGCAGAGATATTCTTTTGACCATGGGATTGTTTTTTTCCTGCCGTTTTCTTCTTTCTTAGCGTAGCATGAGAATTATGCCTTCTGGAGGGGGGCCTTTTAGTCATTTATGATTGGTTTGTCCAACCAGGGGGAGTGTATCATGTGCTCTGTCTTGTGGTCACATTGTAGCCTTATTTGCATAATACTTGTGCTCTTTGGTTGAGACCTTGTTTGTCAACCCAGTTTCTGGAGTTCCTAGTTCCAAGGCCCACTTCTACCATGCTATTCACAAGGTGGGTCAGTTTAGCCAGACATTTGTGTATCCTCACTTTCATGATATGCTAAAGTTTTCTGTTTTGGTGACTTTCTTTGCCAGCATATGTCGAAGGCCTTGAGCTTCTAATCATTCAACAGATTTTTGGTCTTCTTATTTGTTGGATATCCTTGGCTTCACATATATTTTATACTTCGATGTTTGGCCCATAGTTAACATTCTTCTGCCTCGATCCCTCCTTCCTGATGTTCTTCTATGAATAAGCCCAGTTTTCCCTTTCTATTTTACTAATCTTTCTTTCCTTTCCAGAAAATCTGTCGTCTCTATCAATAGGTTGTTATGAGTAAGCTTGTGGGGAGCTAATGAAGGGTGGACTACCAGTAGCTCACTTTCCCAACCCCGTCCCTTTCTTTCCTGTAGGTTGGGAATTTGGCATAGGTGGCTCCAGAGGTAGATTGTAGGCTCAATGGCACCCCCAGTGACCTGGGCTACTGTCTGGTGGAGGTTGGGTGTATTAAGATTAGCATAGTTACTGTCTGACGATGATTGTTTGCATTGTTTACCTTCAAGTAGTTACTCATTTTGTGGTGCTTTTGTTTTCTGGAGCATTTATTATAGTTTTTGTGGTTAATCTTCGATTCCCTGCTTCCCTTGCCTCGTTGAATGAGCCAGATTATGGTACTGGCTTCCATTAGGTGATGGTTGAGTCTCAAAGATTTTGTATGTTTTGCTGAGGCTTGGTGTTGGTGGATCCCAACTTAAGCTCAGGGAGCTACTGGGTGCCCATCAGAAAAGGGCACTTCATTACATTCAACACTTGAGTTTTTCCAAGTTCTATCATTATAATGTTTTTATGAATTATATTTTTAGGCTATTTGTAATTTACACAGCAAGACCTCATACAGTATATGTAGGGAATTGCTCTATATGAAATTTAATATTTGCTTATTGGCTTTAATAATAAAAGGTTTTATATTCAGTATATATTAAGCTGTTACAGGACTTTACATTAGAATATAAACAATTGCAATACAAAATTTCAGTATTGTACTGTATTCAAGATGCACTATATATGTGTTTGTCCTATTAGACTACTGTATTGTGTATGTCATTAACATTTTGAAATTATGGTCTTTGATAATATCCTAAAAATTTACATTATATGTTCTTCTGTCTTCAGAGCGGGACCCTGTGAGCATTGAGCGTAGCAATCTTGTAAATATCTGCAAACTAGTGGTCAAAGAACTCATAGAATCATCACTCAAGTTTGGACGCCAGCTTGACTCAGATTCCGTGCCGCTTCAACATTTTTTCATTGTTTTGGAACATGTTTTACGCCATGGGCTTAAACCTAAGAGGGTGAGTCTTCATAATGTATTTAAGGAAGGAGTCATGGACAAAATACAGTATGTAAAAAAACTTTTGAATAAGACAAAAATAGGAAAAACATTTTTTTTTTTGTCTTTTGAATTATTGTTCTTTATTTATCTTATTTCAGGGTATCCTGGGACCAAAGAAGGAATTATGGGATCTGTTTCAAATGGTTGAAAAGTGGAGTTACGAGGCACAGGACATCACTGCCAGTGTGCGGGATCTTCCCACAGTCAAGTAGGTTATGACATTTATTTAGGTAGACTTTCCATTCTTAGTTGTGCTTGTTGGAGTACAGTCGGCCCTCAGTCTTTCACAGAGGATGTGTTCCTAGAAAAACTCATGTAGATTGAGTTTGCACATATAAAAGTTAGTTATATGAAGATAAATGGATAGTCACCAGGTCGCTGGAGGTACCCAGAGGAGGGTCCATAGCTGCCCTTTAACACTTTGATGCTTAGTTCATGGCCTTGAGGGTTTGTCACTCGGTATGGATGTGTTTTCTTATGTGGGGGGGGGGGCACTGTGCAAGATAAACATATTATTTGTGGCACTAGTTCTCCACATCAGTCAATTGCTTAATTTATGAACTGTACTTGTGGCCAATCTCGAGCCCATTGTTGATGTGACGATGTGCATTCAGTATTATAACTAGCTCATCAAGACTAACTTGCTTAGCTTAGCAAGACTCTAACTTTTGGGGTTAAGTTCCTGAGCTCATTATGTGCCTCTGTAAACCCTTCCACTTCTGCCCACAGGAGATGTAAAAATCACTGATTTAATATGCAAGATGTACCTGCCTAAAGCACACTGTTTTATGTGAATCTTAGAATTTTATGTAATTCTTATCATGTGGGTATTTTGAAATAGTTAACCTCTGTTCTATTTTTCTTTCTTTGTCAGTCTATCCAAAGATGTATTAAAACAAAAAGAGCTTAAAATAAATTACAGGTCTCCCATTTTATCCAAAATGTACACACGCACACACACGCAATAATTGTGTACTATATAATACTGTAAAATAATATTTACTTGCAGAACTCATATCGGAAGAGCACGTGCTTGGCTTCGCTTAGCACTAATGCAGAAGAAGCTTGCCGACTATTTTCGACTGTTAATCGAAAGAAGGGATGACTTGCTGACAGAATTCTATGAAAATGGTGCCCTGATGCTTGCAGATGAGGCTATCGTCATTATGGGGCTTCTTGTAGGACTAAATGTCATTGATTGCAACTTGTGTGTTAAGGTTTGTAAAGTACTTGGCTGTAAGCTAGTCCTGCATTGTGTTTCTAATAAATTATAATGAATAATTAACACATTTAAATTCTGCATGTTGAGGAAATATGAATACAGCAGAACTTAAATTGTTGGATGGGAAATAGTTTGGAAATGATAAGAATTCTAACAACTCAGACTAGGGTGAAAATTGTTCAGAAATTACTTACTAATGGCAATCTAGTCATTTTGATGCATTTTAATTTTAACCACTGCACTGCGCAAAGCGCCTTTAGGTGCTCAGAGAGTTGTGCTTTTTGTTTTTTAATTTGGCTATATTTTAATGTTTTTTAATGTTTTCATTACTATTTGTGTTTTGAAATGGAAATAGTTGACTTTGGAAACATTTTGACATTAAATTTACCCGAACATTTGTAAAAATAACAAAAATATGTCCTTGACAATTGCACCAAGACGTTTTTGCCGAAAATAGGTGAGCAGTGCAAGGGTTAAAGTTATTTTGAGGTAATCATTCTGTCACACCCATTGTTATATGTTTATAAGAACTGCCAAACAATTCTGCTCAGAAAAGTACTCTCTCTAAAGGTTCAATGCCTTATATTTGCATGATCATTACTTCCTTTGTTTCCAGGAAGAAGACTTGGACAGCCAGATGGGTGTAATTGACTTTTCACTATACTTAAGGAATGCAGGAGGTGACACAAGTCCAGATGATTCCCCAGAGCAGTCAGACATGACCACAGTGCTTGACCAGAAGAATTATATAGAAGAACTTAATCGCCATCTGAAGTATGTTATTTTAATATTTTTAATTTTTCGTATTATGTTATTGACTTGTTGCCCTTAATTTCAAATTGCTAAGGCCATAAATAAAATTATGTAAAATACCAGTACTGTAGGTTTCTTTCTGGGAAGGTCTCCTCAGTATCTTCCTAAACTACACACTGATATACAGTGGCACCTCGATTAACGAGTTTAATCCGTTCCGGCACCGAGCTTGTCATGTGGAAAATTCATCTTGCGAAACGGCAACAAAACTGTCGTAAAAGATGTCCGAGAACCAGCGGAAACGCTCGTTAATCGAGGAAAAGCTCGTTAGTAGAGACAAATGTTCTGCTAGTGGCTCGCTCGTTACTCGAAATGTTCGTAGATAGAGGCGCTCGTTAATCGAGGTGCCACTGTACTCGTCAGATCTTCAGTATTTGCTGACCTCTACCTTAAGACCATCATTACCAGAATCTCGTCTACTCAGTAGAGTAATGGGGGAGGTCTAGGTATCTAGGGTCACCACAGTAACCATAAGGAAAGGTCACCAGAATGGTACATTTGCACCAAAACTGGCAACTGCATGGATCACATTTACAACATTAATTCTAACTATGTAAGCATTCATTACCCAGTTCAAAGGACTGATTTGTAGCACACACTACCAGATGATAGACCTGGATACCAGAAGCTCCAGTCTGCACACCCAATCATTCACTCGCCTGGTGTCTTTCTGTCCAGTGCCACACAGTTCTGCTGGGTCCAAAATCTTTTCTAGATAAGTGTTCGCCTACCTTTGGATAGTTAGTGTCAGATGTGGAAGCAATTCCTTTGTTTCTTTTGTTTCATGTGCATATCTAGTGCCTCACTTTGTGTGTGTGCTTGGATTTACTGTTCACTATGACTGAGGCCATGGTTCCTCTTCCCTAATTGTTGTTAGCATTGCCCCTTACTTCAACCAGGGCTCTCTTCCCAGAGGAGGTTCAGATGCCCTCTTCTGTTGAGGTTCCTCTTCTCTCAAGTTCCTTACCCTGGGAAGTGCATGGACTTTTTGGCTCTGTGAGCCTCAAGGGTAGAGGTAGTCACGTATGTGCTCTGCTTGCAGCCTCGCCAAGCATTGATGGGGGATGGGATGATGTGTAGTGTAATGGACAGTTCTGGTGTTGTCTGTGTCAGCTTATCCCTTTCTTAGCCACGTGCTCCCAGGGTGGGGGCCAGTGTGTGTTTCCTGACATGCACTTAGTGCCCAGCCTCCCTGCTTGGTCTGGATTGATACCCTGGAAACAAACCGTAACTGTCTCTATTTTCCGCTTGTTAAAACTTGTAATAAAGTTATATCTCTTGGCTTAACGTGTTTATGACGTATTAGAACGTTGTTACAACTTGCTATATTGGTTGTTATAACTGGTTAGGAGGTGTTAAAACTTGTATGAACGTTGTAGCAACGTCGTAGTTTCGGTGTGTTTGGCGGGTAGGTACTGGTGTTTTTTCCTGTTGTTACATTATTGGAGGCATGGCCCCTCCTTTACTGTGTGTTACATCATCATAAATGCCTTTATGTAGTGCATTGTGCATGATGATGCTTCCTATGATAAATCTGGTTAGTTTCTTAGTTTTGGATAGACATCTGATCCCAAAGCTCCCCTCACCTCAGAGAGAGAGCCACATTCTGATCTGGTTTCTAGTACATATTGTGAATCTAAGAAGTTTACTTCAGCCCTTAGGCTTAAAGGTACAAGTGTGTAAATATTGCATAGCTACTGAAAGTCTACCAGAAAAGGATATTTCATAACATGTATTTCATTTATACAGTATATTATGTGCTTAAATATCCAAAACATGTACAGTATTACATCATTTGCTAGAAGAAAAATTCAAATTTGATGAGCAGTAGTAAAAAAAAAAAAAAGATATGATTCAGATTTTGGAAGGTACAGTGTGTGTATGTATATAATAATCTTTCTTTGGGCATACCAGCTCAATGTTATTTGTTTGCATCAGAACATGGCCTTGCAGTTGCAAAAAAAAGGTGAGACTATATTGTTTTAATGGGGAATATAATATTTGTTCATAAGTTATCTATGCTATTAAGACTAAGAAATAAATACTGTTTCTGTTTTATTCTGATTTGCAATAGGATAAAGTTATTGGCGTATGGAAGACTCTATTGCATCTTGAATTATTTGTCATAGTGAGCACGTTGAGCATATGTAGTATCTGACACTACCCACATCCTGCTCAGACCTGATTATAGAGTTTTCTGTATTGCGTTTATAAAGATCATTTGTATTGATAACTTGCAACACTTTCAGTGCCACGGTGACCAACTTACAGGCAAAAATGGAGGCATTAACCACCACAAATGCACTCATGAAAGAAGACCTGGCCATTGCAAAAAATTCCATCATACATTTGCAGGATGATAATGACCGTCTACGTAAAGAAAAGGGTCTTCCAACCCAACAGCAACAAGAACAGATAGATAAGGAGGTCAGTAAAATTACTGTACAATAACCAAATAGCTCATAAGGCAAAGGGAAATTTGATGTGTTGCTATGTTGTGTATAATTTTTTTATTTCATTATTGCTGGTGATTATTAGTTATAAAATGGCATATTATTAGAAGGAATTTATGGGAAATATAAGATAAAGGATTAAGATTTTCACAGGTGAAGACATGGAGGGAAAGCGAAGACAGCAAATAAGAATAGCAAAACATAAAATGATTCATTAAAAAGAAACAAAATTACGATTTGGGAAATATTAACCAAAATATTTATAGAAAATACAATATTTGTATTAAGAAATAAGAAAGGAAAGAATGGTAGAAGAGAGGAAGGGAATACAAAACCAGCATTAAATGTAATGAAATGTTTCTTTTTGATAGAGCTCTGGTGGTTCCCTGAAGCTATCTTGTTGAGATGGCTCCCCACTATTGGGTCACACTAGTGAAATCCTGTTTGGCCTACCAGGAACCAAAGCCAATATCTAGCTCCCTCGCAGAGCTTCTAAAAGCAGAGGACTATCCTCATCACCCTCAATGACAAAGCATCCGGAAAGTTATTGAAGCTTTACAGACAACTGCATAGTTTATAGAAAACAAAACATTGAAACATCAAAACAACTCTGCAAACTGTTCAGGCAAAACAAATTAATCACTTGAAACTAGTACTGATAGTTATGACCAGGTGGTCCAGAACCCTGACTCACAACATCCTCCAGTAGTCAGTCCAGAGCTAATAGACAATGAACCTGAAAACTGATGAACCTGGTAGGGAGGGTGGGAATCAGGGAGCCACCAGGGCTCTATCAGAAAGAGGTGTTTCATCAACCCGTCCTCTTAAAAAGAACGTCACTTTTGGCTGGTATGCGCGATATGGCTAAATTTGGACGTAATTTGAAATGAAATCGACTCACAAAAGTGACGTCGTGTTCCGTTTTCTATTTGAGTCGTCCGCCTTACGCGCAGAGGTTATAAGAGGACACTTTAAATTCACGTTTTTCATAACGTTTTGAAACTTTATGAGAATTTCCTGCCCACCTAACCTATCAGAGGACCCTTAACTTACTGTTGTTGAAAAAAGAAATCCCAAATTTATTTTAATTTTTTTTTCATTTTCAAATTACGTCCAAATTCGGCCATACGGGCAAACGGCCAAAAGCGACGTTCTTTTTAAGAGGACAGGTTGGTTTCATTACACTGAATGCTGGTTTTTGGATAGAAGCTTCTTGGAGGCCTCCTGAAGCTAACTAACCACAGAGAAAAGAAAAAAAAGGGACTTACCAGGGATGACGAGTGATGGCAGAAACTTTTCCAAAGAAGGTACAAGAAGCTGGGAACATAGTCCAACACCATACAAGCTGACAGGGACCAACAACTTGGACCAAACAATGGGCTGCCAGGAACCTGTCTGAAGCCCAAAATTCAGCCCCATGACATGGAGACAATCACAGACAATTCCATGTACATACAAACAACCAGAAGAAAATACACCTCAGAAGAGGAACGAAGGAAAACAGGGCAGAACCAGTAGCACACAGGTAGTGACAAAGTGCTGCCACCATGCGCAACAAATAATGCACCCCTGGATGCACCAACCAAGCATCAATCATCAAAGGACCCTCTCTGAAACCAGTAGACTCAATGTACATCAGAAAAGAAGAAGGCAGCAGACAAACAAAGTGCCCACCAAGGATTAAGGAACAAAACCCAATCTCTGGAGGAAAGCATGAATGTACTCAATCTTGCAGCTGGAGGCAAGAGCCAACAAAAACACTCTTCCAAAAAGACATCCCTGTCCAAAGGGACAACTGGGAAGAAGCAAAGATCAAGGCTTTCCCCAAAAGACCAAGATAGTTCAGAAGTAGCATGAAGGATGTCAAAGAATGCCCAAGATAACTTGCAGAAAGGCACCGAAACCATAATGATGCTGAATGCAAGCAACAACAGCTGTGCCAACACCGAATGACAATAGGTGATAGTATCAGGCAGATGGCTATTAAAGACATGTATGATATGTGAACAAATTTCCTGGAACAAACACCAGAGAGAGAGAAGGTGAACAGACAAAAGAGGCAAAACAACCACCAGATACTGCCATACTGCCACCACGAAGAGACACGTGAACCCCAGTAACCCAGCCACCTGCTTGCTGTACAAATGGCAAAAGACCTGCATTAGAAACTCCAGATATGTAGAGCAGAGGAGAAGGTCAAACCAGCAAGGTATGTCACCAGGCTGACCAGCTGAAAGAGGCAGAGCTGCGAGAAAATGCCCAGTTTCAGACACCAGGTCAGAAGAGCCGGAAACAAGAGTCCAAGCCAGTATGTGTTGTCTAGTAGGGAGTCGAGTATGACTCGCTGCTCAACGACATCCGGAGCAACAACTAAACCAGGTGGGGGAAAAGACAAATGAACCCCACCACAACCAGTCCAGCCGAAAGACGTTCATTGCACGTCTCGGGATCAGAGAACGGTGCCACCCAAGAGGGACAGAAGCCAATTCCACACCAGGTGGGGGAAAAACTCGCCTTTCGACAAACTAACACACTTCGTAGCAATCTAGTTCACACTGCTCCTCCTGCTTCTAATGCTGCTGGTGTCTACTCTATTTCCTGTTCATCTTGTCCTCTCCAATACTTTGGCGAAACTGGCCGTACACTGAATGACAGACTTAAAGAACACAAGAGAAGTGTTAAGTCTGCTGACACTAACAATGCTCTCTTCTGCCATGTGAGGGATTCTAATCATCCCATTGATTGGTCTTCCTCCAAAATAATCTTTCCTGCCTCTACTCTACACAGACGCCGTCTTGTAGAATCGGCTCTTATTAACAATGTACCCAACATGAACTTGAGTCCTGGCTTTGTTGCTGTGGACTCTTCCCTTTCACAGTATATACTCAAATGCTCTAATCTTTCTAACAAACGTGACTTAACATAAGCTTTCCCCCTTCCATTTCTTTCTTTCTCTTTCCCTTTCTTTCTCTCTTCTCCCTTTTTCTGTTCATTGTCTTCTACGCTCCCTTGCCTTCCTCTTCTTATTCCTATTACTATCTCCTTCGGTGGTTATAATAGGAGCTGCCTCGTATGGGCCAATAGGCCTGCTGCAGTTCTCATTACTACTATCCCCTACACCTGGCTTTCCTCCTCAGCTCTCTCTTGCCTATTTAATGCCTGTCCCTACCTGTCCTCATCACAATCGACTTGAGAATGGTCCAGGACGGACCGAAACGTTGTCGTCCCTTCAATTTCTAGTGTGTGGTCTGGTCAACATACTTCAGCCACGTTATTGTGACTCATCGCCTGCAATTCCACACCAGCATGAAGAGGTCTACCTTGGGGCAACCAAATCATCTCACAAAGCCACTGGAGGAGGCATTGACAGTGGACTTCTTCACAGAATAAACAGAAGTGAGGGAATTCATCTACAAGATGGGTTCTTGGAATCATAGCCCACAACTGAAAGTTGCAAAGTAACCAAACCCTAGGGACAGTAAAACAAACCTTAGACTTCAAAGAAAAGACGATAGTTATTCATCTGTATAAATCCTTGGTGCCCCTCCATTTGGAATATTGTATACAAACATGGAGACCACATCTTTGGAAAAACATGTGCGTTAGAGAAATTTGAATATCAGTTGACAAAAATCATTCCAAAACTAAATTGATTCTTATTCCAAGAACAGTTGAATGCTACAGGGCCAACAACTCTGCAAACCCGACATGACCGGGTTGATCTTGTCAAAAGATTCAAAATACTGAATAATTTGGAGGATATTGATCCAGACCACCTATTCAAACAAGTCACAATGTAGGACAGAAAACAGAGATACTTTTTCACCCATAGGGTTATAAACTCATGGAACTGCCTACTTGCCAAAGTCATAAATGCCAAATCACTGCATTTGGACAACTAAATGGACAAACACATGGACAACCAGTTGTCCATGTGTCAGAAAGGTTGATTATGGGTCTGCATCAGAAAATGCAGAATAGAACCAGTGAAGAGCAGGGGTGCCATAGGCACAATCAGAGAACACTGTATAAACATCAAAGGTCCACAGTTGTTCAACATCCTCCCAACAAATATAAGAAATATTGCCGGAACAACCGTGGACATCTTCAAGAGAAAACTAGTTTTCTTCAAGGAGTGCCGGAACAGCCGGGCTGTGGTAGATATGTGGGGTTGCAGGCCAATCCAAGCAACAGCCTGTTGGACCAAGCTCTCACAAGTCAAGCCTAGGGCCAGGTTTGGGAGTAAAACAACTCGCAAAACCCCATCAAGCAGGTCAAGCAGGTCATCTCTGTTTCCTCCATAACTACTGCTAGGACCAGGGTTTGTTTCTCAGAGGTGCTGTATGTGTAATTGTTGGATCGTAAGTCCATTTGAAAAATTCTTTGCTGTATCAGAGATAAGGTCACACTAGCATGGCTGGAAATTTGCTGTGTTCACTGTGCAGTGGAGCATTGCATAAGGAAGCAAACAAGGGGCTCAATTCAGGAAGCATAAATAGTTAAAATATTTATTCAGTGTCCTAACTCACTAGCAATAAATATATGTGTAAAATTAATAACTCTAGTTACAAATATACTTATCTCATTATACCCAAACAAATACAGTATTTTTAACAGGCCAAAAAAGCAAGTCGCATTAGTGTGATTGGCTGCGAGGAGGAAATGCAAGATCTGAAGCGGCAGCTGGAAGAAGAGAGTGCTCATCGGAAACAAGTAGAAAAAGAGCTTGAGCTTCAAATTCAGATGAAAGCTGAAAGTGAGATGGCTGCTAAATTGCTAGAGAAAGACATTCACGAGAAGCAAGATACAATTATCTCCTTACGACAGCAATTGGATGATATCAAAGTTATCAATCTGGAGATGTACCGGAAATTACAGGTGAGCATTACAGTATATATCAATAATGTTTTAATTTAATTGTTTAATGATGGATGTAAGTGTGATTCAGTTAAGGTATATACTATAGGTGGTGTAACACCACCATTGTAATGTGTCGGAAATTGGAGAAAGAAAGAAAGGAAGAAAACTCATAGAGTGAGGGAGATAGAGAGGTGGAAGGGGAGGAGTGAGGAGGAATGGTCAGGAGAAAGGGAAAGTTTAGAATGAGAGAAAATGGGAGGGGAAGAAAAGTGCTGAAGGAAAGTGGTAGAAAGTGCTGCCACCATCCATTCCAGAGTTATTTATAAGACAAGGAATGGAACTTATCTGTACCACTATTTTCTGATGTTATCACGTAACAACGGTAAGCATGTAAATCATATAGTCAAGAATCTTTACATCATAATCTTTAGCAAGTATAATTCAGAGTGCTCTTACTAGCTTTCACTATCCAAGATCTAGGGATCAGAATTAAAGACAATTTAAAAAGTAAGTTAATCAATTAGATGTTATCATTATATACGTATTCACTCTTATGGGTATCATAATTCAACCATTTCACTTTTATGTTCAAATGTCAACACTAATGCAGAATTTAAGTCACCACACAAGAAATTGAGAGCAACTACGGCTGACTGTCCCTGAAAATTACACAACACTTAAATCGGAGAATGCCAAATATTCGTCAACCTTACACTCACTCACTTGCCAAAGTCTCTGATTATAAGATGGTTATCATGGAAGGGTGATACAGCTGACAAACAGTCCCCCCACCTGGCCTGGAACAGGCGTAGTTTGGGCTGCTGGAACCTCTCTGGTGTAGCGAGGCTTCTCTCTCCCTGTATATCAATCTCTTCTCTATCTCAAATGTACAGTTCCACGGGTTTTTAAGGGGGGAAATCAGAAGCTAAACTCTGCCTACCAGGAGATAGCCAGAGGCTATCTTCCTACCTCACCTAGACAGAGGCTTGTTTGATGGAAACACAGCCACCCGTCTGCAATTATCAGCATAGCAGAGAGCGAGGTCACCTGATGCGACCTGACCTCTACTCAACCTGTGAACAATTAACACTTGAAAGGTTGGCGGCACTCAGGGCCAACAGCCTGATGCCGCCAATATCCTGTGTGACTGACTCGCTGTATGTGAAATATTAAATGCAACCATTTATGTTACAGGTTGGGGGGAGGAGGAGGAGGAGGGGATGTCTGTGGGATGTGTATTTGGGGTAATGGGTTTTGTGTGGGGTTAGGTGAATGAAGGTATATGTGTGTGTATGTTGTACCTAATAGCCAAAGCTGCACTACTTGGCCTAGTAAGCTACATTTGTTTTTCTAACAGCATAAATATATATTTTGAAAATATAGCTCGCCATTAATAATATTAACATATTTTATCGATATCGTGAATTTCTAACTGGCCAGGCATAGTTTCACCAATGATAGGGAGCAAAATATTGAGGAATAATTGGCCTATTTAGGTTAGGCCAAGTTAGGTTTTTAGGTTAGTTTTAGCTCAAATTAAAAAAGGCCATATCATATTTAAGAAAGAGATCTAGGGATAATTCTGAGTAGTAAACTGTCACCAGTGGATTACACACAAGGTGTGAGAGGAACTTATGCTATACTGTACTAGCAAATTTAAAAAAAGCAGGCGATGAGTCACAATAACGTGGCTAAAGTATGTTGACCATTCTCAAGTGGATTGAGAATCGACTTGAGAATGGTCCAGGACGGACCGAAACGTCGTCGTCCCTTCACCTTCTAGTGTGTGGTCTGGTCAACAAATTTCAAAAACATGTTTAAATATATGGACGGAGAAATATTAAGTACTATCTACACTTGCTAATCCAGATCATATGGGGCTCACCCTTCTACAAGCTAACCAGATATCTGGATTAGCAGAATTTCTTAACAGGAAGGTCTAAAAGTTAACAGATTCGTAATTTTTTGTACAGCAACAAACATAATTCGTATTCCCACACACAATACAAATAAATCTACATGATTAGGGGAAGGCTCTTAATCTACAATACAGTACTTACAGTACTTTTGTGACAGTAACAGAAATTTTAGCTTACCTTGTTGGAGTTCATCTGCTTGATTGATGTAGGGCTTCAATAATGTTCATTTATTAACCTAACCAAACAAAACACTCAAAATTAATGTACATGAGTTTTGCAAGGTCCGTTTTGACTGCCAGCTGCTGAGACTGTACCGTTCGAAAGGCCCTTGGCTTTTTGGTTAGCATAGGTTTTCCTATTTCATTCAGTAACTCTGCCGAAACTCTCAGTAACCCTGATTTCTGTCCAAGCTTGGTGAAGTTTGATAGACAAAACTCGGACTCAGTTTTGTCCAGATTACCCAAAAGTCTGGGTTACTAGGGTTCAGATTAGTGAGCTCTTACAGTACTGTAAACTGTTCACAACATTCATAAGGCTGAAATTAGAATGTGCATCAGTTGTGTGGTGTGCATATCTGAAGAAGCACATCAATAAACTAGTAAGGCTGCTAAGACACTACTAAATGACTTCTGGAATTAAAAAAAAATAGCTATGAGGAGAGGTTAGAGGCATTAAATATGCCAAAGCTGGAAGATAGAAGGAAAAGAAGTGATATGATCACCACATACATAATAGGTGACAAGAATCGACGTAGTTGACAAGGAGGAATTTATGAAACAAAACTTCAAGAGCAAGAGGCCATAGATTTAAGCAAAGGAAAGAAAGGGACCAAAAACATACAAAAGTTTGCTTTTGCAAACAGGGTTGTGGATAGCTGGAAAAATTTAACAAGGTGGTGGATGCCCAAGCCATCAGTAGATTCACGGTGCCATATGACAAAGATTGTAAATAAGACTGGACACCACAAGCACAGCTCTTACCCTGTAACTACACTTAGAATGTCATTTTTTTCAGTAATAGACTTGTTGGGAATGAAATAACCTTCAGGAGAAAGTTAAGAGTGCCAAAACTACCGCTAGTTTTAAAACTTTGTACAGTTCAGTATTATAAATTCATAAAGTAAAAGGGACACCACGAGTATGGCTCTCTTCCAGTACCTGCAATCGGGTAATTACATACTGTATCTACATACATGAAGCTTATACACACATACTTTTCGTATATATACCGTACCCTATTTTGATCGTCACTCGGTGGCTGACAAAATATTCTTAAAAATTGACGGTAAGGGCTAAATCTGCATGCCGTATTGGAGAGCTTGCTTATGCAAAATTGGTCCCTAATTTTTGGTCAGACATTGCTTATTCTGTTTTCTTAAAAATTTAAACTAAAAATTAATTAAAAAGTAAAAACACTAATTCTGCTATATTTGTTATAATAGCTTGCATTAATCACCAAGAATTAGGGGTCAGGTCTATTTCCTCTGTTGTTCTCTACTAACACTCACCTTCTCTGTCCTCTAGGAGTGCGAACAGGAAATTTTCGAGAAGGGCTTAATGGTGGAACGTCTGCAAGAGAAAACCTCAAAAATCAGTAGCATGCTCATTAATCTTAAAAATTATTCTGAACCTAATTACACTTCTAATAGTAAACATACATCTTCAAGTCATTCTGGCCAAAAGTGAGAAATTGTTAAAATTTTAGCAAATGGATTTTGACACTTCTTAGGATGTTTAGCATTTTGACTTACATGATAGTGATTGATACAGGTAGACTTAGTTTACACAGTTAGGCTACAAGGAAACTGTGACCAGGAACAAGCAGTACTTATTTCGTTAAAATTTGTTCGTTTGACCTTGCCGCATGTCTGTGAAAATTGTCTCGTGTTTAAAAAGAAATATATGGAGAATGACGTGATTATTAGTCCAGTATTAGAATTTCTTGTGATTTGCATATCAACAACTTTAGTATGTGTTGTCTTACTAATAAGATTATCTCTTTATTTTCTTACATACTTTCTTGTACTTCCTCTGTACTCTTTGCTATTATTTTTTACTACTGACCTTTCTGTAACTTGTATGTAATTTGTGTCAGACATCCATGCTGCTTTTTCTGAATTTTAACACTTCTGGTTGAAGTCAGATGTTGGTGCTGTATGAATATGCCACATTAGGTTATGATTGGAATTTTTAAATGATTCAATTATGTTAAACTGTTAGTGTGATGGCTCTTGCGCTCAATAACCATTTGGTTCATGGAAATTTTAAATTGGAAAAGGCTGTATGCATTACAACTTATTTTATTTGTATTCTTGCACTCTTTAGTTTTTTGTGTGTGTGGGTCTCATAGGTGGAGAAATCTGCAAGGAATATGTACACAAGAAAAACTGGGTGGAAAACTTTGGTATCCTCTCCTATGTGTTTTTCAGGAATGTGAGAGCTCATTAAAACAGAAAACTGAACTCATCGGTCGTCTGGAGGCTAAGGCGGCAGAAATGGCAGAGACCATACGCAATTTGGAGTCAAAGTATGTATTCCAGGGCCCCCAGTCTTCTAATGAACCCTCACAAGCAGGACAGATATCTCGATCCAAGTCCTACTTTGAGCCATCTACTAACAGTGTGGACAAGGAACGGGCAGATGGGGAGGTAGAGCAAGGGGTGGGCAAATCAACCAGCATGTTTGAGCTTGAAAGTAATGCAGCCAGTAAATTGTGATAGGAACATCTTTGAATTATATAGCTTGATGGCTTACTCTTGAATGAGTTATATATAATGGAATTGCTTATTTATGTACAGCTGTGTGCATTAATTTGCCCTCATTCACTTACTTTGCATGGACTCCAGCACTTGCCCTCCAACATAGTATCTATCAACTGCCACAATAACCATAGACTTGAACACATTCAGAATTACAAATATATATGCTGAATTTAACTAATTTACTGCTAAATTAAAAGTCAGAATGTCTTATTTGTATAGTCATGGGTGTCTGTCATATACATAATATAAAGCTCTAATGTAGCATTTTTATGTAATCCTAATAGACTGATTTGTCTTTGATCGGAAAAGTAGGAATGCTTAAATAGATAAACAAAAATTGGCAAACCTTCAGCTAAATGTTGTACATTATCAGCTGAGGCAGCCATGATCACATAATTATTGTGCTGATAAACTGAACACATTTCTGCTGAAGCTGTGCCCTCACTCTACCAGTGTTTGTTGTGATAACAGTGTAGTATTATCTCAAGACATGGAATGTACCACACCTACCAAATATTGCCAAATAAAGAAAACTATACCCAGGTGGAGTTTTATTATCACTCCAAAATTTAATATTTCCTCACATATTTGGTTGCCTCTCTTTCCTTATTTGGTTTGTCAAATTTTGTTCATCTAAACTCTTATATACAATTTCTGAAGGTATTTTTAAATAATTATTTTTGTTCTTTATTATTTAAATACAGTACGTCCAAATATAATTTTATTTTAAATTATCAAATGATATACTGTACTATATTTCCTTTTAGACACTAAACACACACATATTTAGATACACAAAATAGGTGATAACGTTTCAGTCCATCCTAAAGTTTGTGCTTGATAATAGCTCAGGATGAACCGAAGCATTGTTACCCTTTTTATACAGTATTTCCATTTCAAATGTTCCAGACACATTTCTGTGAGTTATTCTATTTCCTCTTTTTTTTTTTGTTTACTTATATTCAGAGTTATCTATCTTTTAGTTTATACATGGAGATTTCAACCATCAGGTATGAGGAATGCGTGATTCAGAAAGATGCTGCCAAGGAAACAGCTCAGAAGCTCAGCGATAAGGTTAGTTTTCTAAATAAAAACTGGAGGAATTTCAGGAGTACAGGGTTGTTTCTTTGAAGGCTACAATATTCAGTGGTGTAAGTCTTACATATTCAGTGGACTGTCAGCAGAGCAGAGTAATTCTTTACTCTTTATTCAGCAGAGTAACTTTTTCTATTTAATTAAAGGATATTGTACCAGAGTATCACCATATATACTGTATTAAATTTGATCTTAATTTGGGTTTATTCCATTCTTTAGACCTGCATAAAACAAAAAAAGTACTGTAGCTGTAGCTATTAAAAATATAACATTACAAATTTTACATTGTCCAGTTTCATGACTTGTCTGTGCACACAACATTCATACACATGTTCACTCAGACTCGATGATGCCATCGAGTTCATGAAGGTTCCATCCTTAGATGTTAAGGATGGAACCTGCCTCACCATTTGTGAACATGTATACAGTATAGCCTTATTCCTGTGTCTTCTGCTTCAACTGGAGCTCCTCTTAATGCTGTATTACAGATAAAAGTTGTAGCTGGGTCCTCATTTAGTTTAAACAGATGGAACTAATTTCCCTCTGTTTAGACAGTCATATAGAGGTGGGGGTTAGCTCCCCATGCCCTTCGTAAAGGGGAGTCGGCCCCCATTTTTCCCTTCCTAAAGTCGGTGGAGACAAAATGTTTAGGCCCATAGTTTTATTATTTGTTCATTAATTATTTAGGGGCTCCCAATACTTAAATGGTGCAACACTCCATAATGTTACAATCTGGAAGCAATCAAGCCTTGGGAAACACACCAGAGCTTTAGGACTCATGAACACCTACTGGGAGCCAGGACCAGAATCTTGCTGTGTTCCTCAAGACTTGGTTGCTTCCAAGCTGTAGTCTCGGGAAGATACAGCGGTGTCCACCACAACGAGATGTTTCTATTCATTCAATGATGAATTTTTATATTAATATAAAATAGAATTGTTTAAACTAGATTTAAATAGATATGACTATTGTATACTAGAATTTCATCAGCGTCAAACCTATGTATTTTATTTTATAATTATATAATTCATTGTAATTGAACTGAACACCTAGTAGTACACAGCTGATTAAGTGATTATCATATGGTCAAGTCAAAATCTACATATGCGCAATACATTGCTGACTTACTGGCAAACTTTGCTTGTCTATTGACTCCAAGACCAAAATTGGTACCATGCCATCCATTTAGGCAATCTCCAGCTTCTCAGGGACTTTACAAAAAGATTTTTTTTTATATACAGTTTTAGCATAACTGAAGCTATAGTAATTTTCCATGTGTATGCAATGTCATTGGGTTTGGATCCAACCTGAAAATATTTTGTTAGATTCTCACCACTTTTATTTCTAAATTGGGTGGTTAAGTGAAAAATATTGCACAATACCCTGTACTGCCCAACTACCCAAGATGGTAATTTTTGACAGTGGGAATAAGATGGGAAAGTGGATTTTAAATTATTTTTCTATGACCAGGAAAAGTTTGTGATATGGAACTCACTTATTTAATTCCTGTTTTATTTGTTTTTATGCAATTTTATTGATCCACAGATAAATTCATCTACACCAGTGTAGTTTGGCCAGCAGTGCACAAGGTTGATTACTGTTTATCTTTAAGCATATGATTGTCCCAGACACATTTGTTGATGAGTTGCCAGTCTAGCTCCTCACTGGTCATAAAATAGGATTGCATAAGCTACTGCTTCTTTGTACTATTATCATGTCTATTTCAATAATACAAATGAATCCTAACCATATTTTTCAGATATCAAAGGAAGAAATCATTTCATCTACATTAGAAACAAATCTTAAAATAGAAAGGGAATGGCGACAATCCTTGCAAGAAGCTCTGATAAAAGACCGCGAATTGAAAGCCGAACTTCAACAGGAAGTTGCACAACTTGCCAAGCAGCAAGAGGTACCAGTTTAATGTCAGTATTTTGTTAGAATAAACATTCCTTTAAACATTTTATTCACTTATAATATAACAAAATTAGCCGTTGGAATACTTTCCAAGAGAATGTGTGCTGGTGTAGCCTTAAGAATTGCACCAGACCTCTGAAACTCACACTGGCCTATCGTCAATCCAGACCAGAATCTGATAGTCTACAAGGCCAAGGGAGTTTGAAGATACAAAATTTACCCAAAACTAATGAAAACAATTCAGAAAGGTTATACAAAACAAAACAAAACAAGCATCTGCTTGAAAAAGATTCTAGAGGCAAATAATGCAAACAATCATTGCTGTGTGCAAAAAACCCTAACCTTGATGCACCAACACAACTAGATGGTAGCTCAGGTCATCCAAGGCCCTGGCCAAAAACTACTCATCTGTAGCAGTCAGGGTTGCACCACTGTGCTGGGACCTTTGTGCTGCTGTTCCTTTCAGCTAAGTTCAACCAAGTCCCTAGGTCCAAGGCCAGACTCTTCCAGGAAGGTGGTTCAGTTCAGCCAATTGACTGTCTATACTTGCTCTATGATGTATCTGTTTGAATTTACATACATTTACTTGATTACCACCAACTGTAGTGGCCTCAATGGAGCCTGGAAGGCCAGTAGCTTGTCAAAAATGCCCCTATTGATCCTGAAGATTTTTTCCAGCTGAATTTTAAACTGAAGTAATATCTTGGTATTTATGGCTTTGTTGAGTAGGCAATTCCATGGGTTTATTATTGTGTGTGGGAAAAAGCTTCTCCTGTTTTCTGTCACAACATTTTGGCTTGTTGACGTCGATGCTCTTGCCCTGTGTATGCAGTATGTTTAACCTTTTAAACAGGTTGTCTGGATTAATATCTTGCAATTTGCTTCTTTGATGGTCTTGTTTGCCAGTACTATTGTATTTCCACAGCTAATATACATGCTCAAAGCTTTTGGTGGTCAGACAGTGTTGGCTTCCTGCTATTTGTTAAGTATTCTCCAGCACTTGTGTGGCACATTGGTGTTTACGCGCTGTTGATGCTCTTAGACCTTAGGCCCCTACTTCCCTGCTGTCATCTCTCACAAGTAAGTCCTAATGTCTTTTCTTTTGATGCTAATCTTATGTGCTCTTTCAAAAAGAGCCATCCTTCTTGGCCATGGCACGTTTGGGGTATGCTGCAGGTAGCTATTTAGGGGGTTCTCCAGAAATCAAAACTTTAGCTGTAAATAATTGCCTTTTACTGGTGGGCTCCCCATTCCTGCCCTGCGTGCCTCCTCATTTCTCATAGAATGTTCACTTTTGGTGGCTTGTCGGTGAGATGAACTGTTGGCTGTGACCCTGGTGTGACTTTAGCTGCCATCTAATGGCAGTCAGGTTTATCAAAGCTGCCATCTAATGGCAGTCAGGTTTATCAAAGCTGCCATCTAATGGTAGTCGGGTTTATCAGAGCTGCCATCTAATGGCAGTCGGGTTTATCAAAGCTGCCATCTAATGGCAGTCAGGTTTATCAAAGTTAAGGTTATTCACCTGCATCAATGATCGTTTGTTTTGTTTGTTTCAAGATGTATTTATTTCTTTTAAGTAGTACCTCATTTTGTTTTGCCTAACTTTTCTGGTGAATTTTTCATCATTTTGAGTAGAATTCTGATTTCCAAGTTCCTTGAATCTTATAGAGGGAGCCAGATTCTGGTCTTGGCTCTTGATATGACAGCATGGGTCTCAGTGGCCTAGTGCAATTTGTAAAGATAGGCTACACCAACACATCAGCTCTGGGAAGTTACTGAGGACCCACCAGGACAGGAAGTGTCATTACATTCAACACTTGACTTGTATATCTTGGCATAAATCTGCATCCATATGTGCAGATTTATGCTGCCCGATTAATTGTTTCCTGTTTCATTGTAGGAATACAACATCCTAAAAGGGGCTCACATGCAGCTAATTTCCACTGTTGAAAACCAAGAAAGAACACTTGAAGAGCTAGGTGCCCATCTCTCTGAATCTAAACTAAAGATGGCTGATCTTCGGGATGTTAGCAAGTCTTTGCGTGATGCTCAGTGGGCACCCGACAAAGAAGCCACCAACTGTCGCCTATGTGAAAAAGAATTTAACATTTCCCGACGTAGGCACCATTGTCGGCACTGTGGAAACATATTTTGTCACAATTGTAGTGATAATACTATGCCTCTTCCATCATCAGCACGACCAGTTAGAGTTTGTGACACTTGCCACACTCAGTTGTTACAGCGCTATTCTAATTCTGAAAACTGATAATGTCATAGGTAGTGATGTTTATAGATTTCTTTTAAAAGTTAAGAATCATATTCTATACAATATACTGTATAGTATATGATTTGAAATAATGTAACCGCATATACTGCATTTATAATTTTCTTCTGCAGACTATCTGATAGTATTTACCCTTCTTCTTTGATTCTTAGGATGTTGAAAAAAATTCTTCAGTTGTTTTATTATGTCTTTATGGTATTTGGACTACCCAAAGCCCACTTTCAGATGTTACTATCTTTACCTGGAGATTATTATGATGTAGCCAAAACACTGCAAAAATTTAAGACACTATAAAAATTTGAGATTTTGGAAGAAATATTTTCCATTGTCCTGAAAGCCAAAGTGCACTTTGCTGGCATTAACCAATAATAGCAATTCATGGCTTGATTTTCTGAGAGGCCCCTCAGTAGCTCCCCGAAGCTTATATGCTTGTGTAGCCAAGCCTAAAGAAGTGCACCAGGCCTCTAAGACCCACACTAACCTACTAAGAGCATTACCAGAATCTTCCATACACCTGGGCTCTAGGAGTCTTGAACTGTGGACCCCGAGCATGTGAGGCCGACACTCTATCGACCGAGCTTTGAGTAGTCATGATATTTTACCAGAACTTTACTCAGGGATTAGAGATTGAGCCAAAACTATCCCTCTGAAAGTGTAGGCAAAACAAAACAAATTATTTTGTGAAGAAAGAAAGAAAATCTGAGGCAAACAATTCTAACCTTTATGTACACAACTGCCACCAGATGGTGGTGTAGGTCACACAGGATCCCACCCATCTCGCTTGCTATCCTAGTTTGGTTTCAATGACATAAAGAAATTGTCATTTTTGGTTCAATATAATGTTTAATATAAATTAAAAGTATACTGCATTTCTGGTATGTTTCATATTGTAAATGAAGGGAAATTCTAACATTAAGAAAAAGATTACCTAGCACTGCAACAACATTAGATGCCATAGACTGTTATAATACATATACTATCAGGTAACTTGTTCCTTTCACATCATCCTATAATATACCGACATTCCCTTATCCTCATTCTTGTGCATACTTCCCTCTTTCTTTTTTGTCTGCAATAAATAAGAAATACAGAGATGGTTACGAAATAAGCAACTACATTTAGGGTCTTTGTAGTACAGTTGGGTTCATTTTTAACCTGCAATCAGAAATCCCAGGTTCAAATCCCTTGTGGGACAAAAATGGTTATGGGTGTTTTCTTTCACCTAATACCTCAATTCACCTAACAATGAATAGGTACCCAGGAATTAGTCAACTGTTGTGGAGTTGCTTCTTGGGGAAGGGTCAGTAGTTCGACCTTACATTGGGTAAGGTCCTCGACATCAAGCATACACGCATGGGTCTCAAAAGGCCTGGTGCATTTAAGGCCTGGCTACATCAGCACATAAGCTACAGGAAGCTACCGAGGGCCCACAAAAAAAAAAAAAAATTATTTCATTACATTCAATGCTTGATTTTTATAACTGATATATAACTACAGTACTGTATTGAACTAAGTTTAACTTGTTATTAAGTACTGTATAAGTATACTGTACGTTCAGTGTTTATTGGCACAGGATTCTAATTTAATTAGTTTTACTATAGTATGAAATTTAAAGTGTTTTAGGTTTTATTGTTTATTAGATCTGAAAATATTTGTTAGTTCTAATCTCAGTTTGTATTCTCTGTTGTTACTGAAACAAAAAGTACAAAGGTAATTGCTATTAAATTCATTCTGCAACATCACTGAATAGTCTGCTATATGGAGTATGGTCAGATTGTACACAAGCTGATTCAACAAAACTAATTTTTTATTTGTTAAAACAGAAAGTATCTTTAGGTTAGGCTCAGTTGGGTTGGGTTAGGTTAGGTTGGGTGAGTTTAGGTAAGTTTTAAAATCCATTGTCGAACCGTTTTCTGTACAGTGTGACTTGCATCACAGCTACACTCGCATTTTTCCTTTCCACACGCTGTCTTCCTCTGTACCATGTTTCTTCCTTGTAAATGATGACCGAGGTAATACTCATTCTTTCCTGATATCCTTGCTTTTCAGGGAAGGCAAGTAGTGACTTCTACACTTACAACAACCTATTAAATTCAATTTGCAGAATTCTACAAAAGGGAGTTCATATTTTGAGCCAACAGTCTTCACGCTGAAAAGTGGAAATGAAGAGTGACTAAATTGTTAATGATAAGTTATGCATGTGGGTTGCCAGGAATTCTTTACACGAGTCAGGCATCAAAGATATTGTGATACTATATATGAACATTACACAATAGGGTTATTTGCTAAAGTATACGTAGCATGTAAAACAGTAGTCTATATTACTTTCATAAGTATTGTTAATAGAATGTAAGGAGTAAATATGTGCATGAGTGACAGCAGCTTGGAATTTAAACATTTGTCTTTCATGAATTTGTAAAAACAAATTGTGCAATGCTTGCCTTGTAATACAATTTAAATGTCTTTGTTTATACATTCACTTATGTATAATGGATTGAACTAATATATAATGTATTATATACAATATAATGTATTGAACTGCATCTTTTGTAACTATATTCAGTGCTGTACATGTATTACCCTCACAAAAGTAAGCGCGCACAAGAGAAATCTGTTAAACCTGCAAATCCAGGAATATTAGGCCATAGAGTCAAGCTAAGGAAATAAAGGTGTGGTAAGAATATATACAAAAGTACACACAGAAATCACAATAGCCTGATTTGTTCATATATAAAAGTGTTTTCTCTTGCAAACAGATTTGTAGATGGTTGGAACAGTTTAAGTGAGGAGGTTATAGATGCTAAAACCATTACAGTATATGATAAAGATTATAGAGAAAATAGGACACCACGAGTGTAGTACTTGTCCTGTCATGTTGACCAGACCACACACTTGAAGGTGAAGGGACGACGACGTTGTCCCTTCACCTTCTAGTGTGTGGTCTGGTCAACATACTTTAGCCACGTTATTGTGACTCATCGCTTGTCCTGTCATATTAAGGAACACAAGTTATGTAATTCTATAGGAAATTACATGCGTGCATGCTTACAAACATCCATGCTTATGTAATGAATAGTGACTCAAAATAATGAAATAATGAAAATCAAGATCGACATAGAGGGAGAAAGAGTGAGATAGAAGGGAGGAATGAGTTAAGTGAGGTGGAGAGTGAGGAAGAGTAGTCAGGTGAAAAGTTTACAGATCTTTTCTACTTACAAAGGAAGCAGTATGCAAAGAAAAATTGGACGCAAATCACTTGAATCATAAGAGGTAAACTGTGCTAGTACAAAGGCAAAAGCACCTGGTTGCAATGTCTCAATGTAGGTACTATGCTGTACAATGGCAATACAAAAAAACAAGTTACACGGTACATATACTAACAAAATTTTCTTTTAATTGTGTATAGTACTAAAAATATAAGAAGATAATAAATATTGAACAAAATATGATCGGCTAGATGTTCCTCATGCATTTGTAAGTTTGATCCCTGTTCCAATCTTTGAAATACTGTACCAACTGCAAATTATCTGCAGATTCTTAGGGTTTCCATTATAATAAGAACAAGGTTTTAAATTTTGATATCTCATTTTGTGTGTATATTTGTTTATTTTTTTGTAGCTGTTACATTATCTCTCTTGCAGCAAAATACTATATTAATGATGGTGATATAAGATACTATGAACAGCTTTGCCATTGCTTCATAACTTACAAGATTATTAATGACTTTCCAGGATGTAGCGCATAAACATTTATAGCCCCCTTAAAAATAATGCTATTATAGTGACAACTAGATCAAATAGTAAGTAATAATTCAACAAAGATACCCTGCAAAATATTTGAAGTATATAGTAAGTGATTTGTGTTAGTCATTGTTTCTCTAGTTTTGATTCTGTGCAGTTTTATATGTTGATTTTACACAAAAACATTTGTATGTTATAGAACAGTAATGCAGAATGTATATTAATATCTTTTATATGAATTGTGTTTATGCAAAATATAATTATTTTTGGGAGTGTGCATTTCATATCCAAATTAAAGATTCATAAATCAGGATATTTACAAGTAGTATATACTTATATGATATTACTGTACAGTAATTTTAATATTTCAAGTATACGGTGTTAGTGCCAAGGTGCTTGAATATATGTTACTAACATATATTGAAGCACTATGTATATATAGCACTGTATTTCAATTATTAATTGATATATGAAAAAACAGAGTAAAGTTGAAATTTGTTTATGGAAATAGCTCTACAAAATAAAAAAATTAAAACTCTCACTGTATTTCCCACTTCTAAACTTCCCTTCACCTATGCCTCTCCATCCTCTTTACTCCCCAAGAAGAAAAAAAGGAAATGCTATTTCTAAGCAAAGCACTCTGTTGTTCTCTAGGCATGGTCCTGCTGCAAGGTAGACATAGGATAAATCTTAATCCAGCTCAAAATGACATTGAAAATGTTTATTCATCCGTAAGAATCCTTCGTAACGCAACTCTGCATGAAAGAGATTGCCAAGGTGTGCTTTATCTAATCACTAGTTGCTGCTGCTCCAAGCTGCCACTAGATATCAGTAGCCACATGTCAATAGGGTACCCAACTTCTGCTCACCTTACATTTCACATAAGAGATCCCCAGAAAAAACATATTAGATGAGGCATGAAAGTATTGAATAAGGATCTCGACCACCTACTCACAAAGAAGGCAGTAGATCCTTCCTCAAAATTCAGTACTAAAATTAGTGGAGAGCTTGAAAGTACTCATTTAGCACAGCCAGTCTTGCATATGAGGAGAAAATCAAGAAAAGGGATAAAAGTTGGGGTATTTGGAAAACAAGACGATGATCCAGTACTAAACTGGCCCCAGGGAAGGCCTGGTCAGGGACCAGGTCACAGGAATATTGAGCCCCGAAATCAGTGCAAGGTAACCCTCAAGATAAGGGGAGTGAACAAAATCATTCAGCCCACAAATCTCAACAGCTTTAACAAAACTAGTTCCAGTCAAACATGAAAATGTCTATCAAATATTATTTTTTATTGTGGAAGGTATCACAATACAACAGGAACTTTATGGTTCCATGTGGATGTGAATAGACCCCCGACATGAGGCATGTCAAAGTTCTTTTATACTGTATCCATAGACAGGAGACCTTGAGCACCTCCCATGCTAGACACCATTCACTAATACTTGACACAAATGAGTGTGAACCATTATGAAGACTAGAGTTAGAGAACCCAGAAAAAATTATACAGATAAATAGCCAAATTCAAATATGGAAGAGCTTGGAAAGAGTTCTCCTGATTGAAGCAATGTATCACCAGAGCACTTTCCAAGTACAACCTTCCCGGTTTGGTGCCTTCTTTTGATAATTACTTACTTACTTTCCAAGTACAAATGGAGAGCTGAGCTCTTTGGAAGAGAGATGCATTTCATACAATTCTCACCGCTGCCACTTTTTTTGAAAAATACTAATATTGGTGATAAATGCCCATTAGACTACGACAGGAGACAAAATCCTAGCTCACGCCAGATGTGCTGGTAAAGAGATCATGCAAAGATTCATTTCCAACACAAACTTCCCATGCCTAAACAGGAATAGCAATCACCGGGAGATGAGATTAAGGGATCCTGAAACACCAGAATGTCAGCATTCAACAGGCATGACAAACCTAATAATTGCGAGGCTGAAAAATTAGGTATCTTACTCAACATGGATAGGGAGATATATATAGCTACTCAAACCTGATAAAGTAGTATTGAACTTGGGAACCAAACCCCAGTAAAGGGTAAAAGGAAACTTGGCTGCCTCAGGCCTGATCTCCACAGAGTCCAAGAGGAGATGGCTGCTGACTTCAACCAAGGAGCACAATCCCACCTTATACCAGCGGTGAAAGAACAAAGCAACCCGAAAGGAGCATCTGACTCTCCCTAGGGAGGAAAAGACGACTTACCTCTTACAACAGCTGGGGTAGTAGACAGGTTCAGGTGAATTCAGAATGATTACAGCAAAGACCAAAGATGATTAGGCCTTGCACCTAGAAGAAGAAGGAGGGAAACAGAATGCATCCCATAGGAGCAACTGGGGCACCAGAAAATGAATAGCATCTTTATGGAACTGAATTTGAGATTTGTAAGAAAAGTCATTTCTGCTGAGGCACTAATCAAACCAATGCAGAGAATAAATCTGCAACACTGATTGGTTACTGAATTCCAAGACTTTGTCTGTGTATACACAAACCAAAAGCATCCACTATAAGTATGAGCATAATAAAAAATGAAGCAAGTTTTTAAATATAAATGAATGTTAATGAACTGAATAATTTTGGTATCCACCATCCCAAAATGCATATCCCTGGGTATTTTATTGACCATCAATGCACTGACACCTGGAGACGGGGGTGATGGCTGGCTGGGCCAACTAGCAATTAGCAGAGCACTCCTTGGCAGCCTTTTTGATGCCGAATAGCTTTTGAAAGTGCTGTAAGTATAGATGAATGAGTCATCTTGAGATTCTGGTCTCAATCCTGGGCTAGATTGCAAATCTTCAAGTACTGTGCAGTTCATCACTAGTACCAGTGTAGAACATTGAGCCTCTTTAACACACCCACACTGTTCCATGCGAAGCAAAATATTATTAAGTAAATCACTGACTTACAAAAAGTTTACAGGTACACAAATCACACAACAATGAGCATTAAATGAGAAGAAATACAGATTAGGAGTTATGGTATTCTCAAAAATTATAAAGTAATACTCTGCAATATTAAACATGTAAAAAAAATTCAGCAACCTCTTTTAAATAAACAGCCCATCTTCCTGTTTTGGTAGTACTGTACTTATAGTACCCGATGAGGGCCATAGTACATATACCAACGTACAATGCAATTAGAAAGTAGAAATCGGTACTATTGAGTTTGGACAAACTGGAAAAGATTTTCTATTTATGTTGCAAAGGCAAACTAAACTAACCTTACCCTCCTAGGCTTAATACATGCTATCTGAGGATTAATATAGTACATACATGTGCTATACAAGGCCTAGGAATATTTAAGTTTATTTTTTAGCTTCACCTTTTGGACTATAAAGTGAATAATACCAAATTCTACTATCTAATTGCTTAGTACATCAATGTTTGTACTTTGGTGCACATAGTTACAAAAGGTACTATTGAAACAGGAGGAAAGTAATATAAAATGAAATACTGTAAGTGGAATCATGAACAAAATATGGAAAACGGTTTACAGGTATTGAGGACAAAGAAGGACTTTTAATAAACTGATAGAACTTAAATGAAATGGAAACAAGCTAACAGTGAATTTATCAGGCCTCTAACAGTGAATTTATCAGGCCTCTAACAGTGAATTTAATGTTTCTTCATCTTAATTGGAACAACCCTTGCAAAAAAGTTCCTAGCATCACCGTTTTTCAAAATTGGTTATTGCACAGACAGTTTTTAGTTAGTTTAGTTCATTTATTATGCACCCAGCAACCCCAATTCATTCTTATTTGATGTCTGAGCCTACCAGAAGCCAATCTTTACTCTATCGGAAAAAGGGAAGCTGGAGGGACTAGAGATAAACTCTAAAATAATGAAAAATCCCCACTAGAAAACAAATGCCACAAAACGTGCAAGAGCTTGAAGAAAATTAAGCACATAATATATATTACAGTACTGTATGTATATATATATATATATATATATATATATATATATATATATATATATATATATATATATATATATATATATATATATATATATATATATATATATATATATATGCATTCCTCTCTTTGATAATAATAATAATAAAGGAAGAATATAAGTCCAAAATAGACATAATAGTAGATAACACACTTATGACTCGAGACATCCCTCTCCAGTATGGCCGGCGACCTTCAGGAGTCTCGTCAGTGCTCGCCTCCGAGGTGACCCGTTGGCCTCCAGCCTACTGAAAGCTTAACGTATCTTAGTTTACAAGATCCTGCAGCCCTGATGAAGCGTCCAAGGTCATCGGGAAGGGCAGCCGAGAAGGAAAAGCCATTAATATTATCGCCGGTGCCCAACTTGAGGATGGATGAGCTCCAGAGTACAGTCACCGACTATGGCAATAAGCTGACTTTTATGGTGAGTTTTGTTTTATTGTAAAGTAGTAAAAGCCTTCTGTTGGCCAAGTTATAGTCTTAGAATAATGAGAAAAACATGAAAGCTACCTAGTCTACTAATCTGTCAAGAGATACAGCTAAATGTTTTGCCTTTTAAGTTCTATATTCGTTACCAAGTAGGCTACACATCCAGCCTTAGCATGTCATACGTAAAGAGCTGCTATGTTGACTATATTATACAGAAAACATCATTTGTAACAACAAGTCTCGTTACTTAATGAACTGTTAACCGGACTGTACTAATTATTAATGAAAATGTTGCTCTCTTAAGTTTCACTACTTCAATTATCGCTATTATTATAGGCTACTATGATAATCTGCTCTCTTAAGTTTCACTACTTCAGTTATCGTTATTATTATAGGCTATCATGATAATCTGCTCTCTTAAGTTTCACTACTTCAATTATCGCTATTATTATAGGCTATCATGATAATCTGCTCTCTTAAGTTTCAATACTTCAGTTATCGCTATTATAGGCTATCATGATAATCTGCTCTCTTAAGTTTCGCTATTTCAATTATCGCTATTATTATAGGCTATCATGATAATCTGCTCTCTTAAGTTTCAATACTTCAGTTATCGCTATTATAGTCTATCATGATAATCTGCTCTCTTAAGTTTCGCTATTTCAATTATCGCTATTATTATAGGCTATTATGATAATCTGCTCTCTTAAGTTTCGCTACTTCAATTATCGCTATTATTATAGGCTACCATGATAATCATTAGTATATAATACCGTGATTATAACACGTGTGTGACAGACCCGTCGGGTGGAGGACATGCAGACCGAGAGGGCAAATCTTCAGAGGAAACTTGATATGCAGCTAAAACGTATTGAGGACATGCGTTCTATTACTCGCACACTCAAAGGTAAGTCCCCGTACATATTGATTTCCTTTCCAGTTGGCCTGTGGCTGAAACTAATCTTCCTTCTATTGTCAAGGCGCTCCCATTGAATTTGGCACCTCCACTGTTTTCAGCCCCTTCTCATGATTTGGCACTGTAAAAATGTAATGGTTTTGTTTAACGGTAAATTTTCGAACCCATTAAGCAACCTTCCTAAACCATGAAAGTTGGTGCTCATAAAACGGTAATATTTCGGTACTTTAATTTTGCAAAAAACGTCGTAATTTTGACGGTTTGGTCGATTGCGTTCTCGGTCAGTCACATTAAACACAGCTATTATATACAAAAATAGAAAATAGCCTAAATTAAGCTATTTTCCTAAAGTCAAGTAACTGAATGGGTGACCGCGTCTTAAGCCTGGCCCTTGGTTAAAGGATCTTGATAATCCCAGCAGGCTTCCTGCAATACGGCCCAACTTTCATGGTATGCCATGATGTGACCATTGTAATACTCTCAGTGAATCTATACCAGCCCCCTCTCTTACACCAGGCAATATACTCTCACCCTATAACTCTTCTTATCTGCGGAAAAGATGCAAAACGAATCCCATGAGGAGTCATCCTTGAATTTCCGTCTACAATCTTATTGCTAAACATTATAATCTCTGCTATCAACTTATATCATCGATGTTTTGCTGAACGCAAATTTGACTACAATGTACCTTTATTATTAATCCTCAAATTATGCTACAATGTACCTGTTGATAATCTTCAAATTTTACTACAATGTACCTGTTAATATTCAAATTTTGCTACAAATTACTTAAAATTATCTGTTAGATTAAGGACTTGCCCGAAACGCTATGCGTGTTAGTGGCTTTGCAAGAATGTAAAAACAAAAATTAGGAATAAACTCAATACCCCATTCGTAAGTGATCGAATCACAGAAATCAATTGTTAATTAGTATCAAGATGCTTAGTTAAGCTACCTCAACTCCTGCTTTTTGCCTCAGACGTTCCCTTTCACCCATGCTGTCTGTCTCAGACGTTCCCCTTTAGTCCCTTCTGCCTCAGATGCTCACCTTCACTATGCTTGCTGCCTCAGATGTTCCCTTTCACCCCTGCCTACTTACTAAGACGTTCCTATTTGTTATGCATGCTGCCTCAGACGTTCCCCTTCACAATGCATGCTGCCTCAGACGTTCCCCTTTACAATGCATGCTGCCTCAGACGTTCCCCTTTACAATGCATGCTGCCTCAGACGTTCCCCTTTACAATGCATGCTGCCTCAGACGTTCCCCCTCACAATGCATGCTGCCTCAGACGTTCTCACTCATGACGTCTGTCTCAGACATTTAAGGGTCCCTGTAGTACAGTTGGGTTCGTTTCTCGACGCACAATCGAGAAACCCGGGCAGGACAGAAATGGTTGGGCACATTTCCTTTCACCTAATGCTTCAGTTCATCTAGCATTAAGTAGGTACTCAGGAGTTAGTCGGCTTGTTGTGGGGTTGCATCCTGGGCGGGGTCGGTAATTCGACCTTAGGGGGGGGGGGGAATCGATATAAGTCTAACTTGTATAAATACAATTTGGCTTCCTGTCCCCCGACACAATGAATTATTATTATTATTCCCAATTTGCCTCTGCCTTCTACCTCAGACACTCATTCACCCATGCTTTCTGCCTCAGCCGTACCCCCTCACCAATGCCTTCTGTCTCAGACGTTCTCTTCAGCCCCTTCCCTCTTCCTCAGACGTACCTCCTCACCCATGTTCTCTGCCTCAGACGCATCCCTTCCTTTCACCCATGCCCTGTATGTCGTGTTTCCCCAGCCAAGGTTACCGAGCTGAAGGAGCAGGAGAGACTGCAGCTCGCCAGGATTGAGGAGCGTAACGCAGAATTGAGAGAGTCGGAGGAGGCCCTGGCCAAGAACCGAGCCCGCAAGGACAAACTCCGCCGGATGATCAATAAAAGAGTGTAAGATTTTCATGAGAACTGTTTTAATTAATTACTCATTTATATATTTTGCAGTTTTTCTAAAGTCGGGTCCCATTGAGCACAGTCCCTAAGAATAACGCTATCATGCATCCTCATCATCATAATAATAATAATCACTTTAATATTCTTTGGAGTGTGACGTGCAGTGTCATATTCTTAGGATTACATTTTTCAAGCTTAACGTTAAGGATATATATGATATTCGTTCAAGTTCAACTTTGTGTATTATTCGCTATAAAATATTTTAAACTTGGTAGTTGGTCAATAACTCTGAGAGGCTGATAAGCCTAAAGCCCAACACCAAACCAAAATGAAAAATGTTTTCATGCTGTAAATGTTTGATTTATGATCTCTAATTCTGATATTTAATAACAGGTGTGAGTTTGAAGCAGACTGTCGTGACATCACGAAAAGATTCTGCAACTTGAGACTCAAGGAAAGGGTACATAATGCAACATTTCTACTCTCAGAAATGTATTACTAATTTAGATCTAGATGATAATTTACATATATATTTGTTTCACGTGATTAGTGTTATATGGTATGAGTTCGAGATATAATCTGTCCAACGGCGAAGGATTGGGACTACAAGCTATTCGGTACCTTAAACAGGTACTTCATAGTACGTGTGTTTTGGATTGCTGGACATGTTTGGTTTTCTGATGAGCGTGACAACATCCCGGCTCTAGCTTCTATGGAGTAGTCATTTGGTTGGCCCCTCCTCCCTTCCTTATGGAATAGGACTTGAACCCATTTCATTTTTCCTATTCTTGGTTTGGAACGTTGGGTCCCCGTGGCCACAGTTCTCTACCGTGAGACACCCCCTTCACATGGTGGAGTTTATTGACCATTCAAAATTTGGGTTTTCTTTGACGTAATAGTTTGCCCATGCCCACTTTTTTGTCAATGCTTCCGGGTCTGGACACCCAGATAGCCCACAAAGGTGACCCCTCCGATGCGTGAATTCTCGTCACTTATAGGTGTCGCACTTTAGGTTTGATCACATTAATTTCACTCATTTTCTTATTCATAAGAGGGATTCCATAAGCCGGATTCATCTGCTCAATTGGTTGGCCAGAAAATACGTTCCAGCCCTCCATGAGTTCATCTCAAGTGTCCCCTGACTTTCCTGTCACTCACCCATAGGATGGGAATGGAGTCCATAATTACACTTGTGTTAGGATCACATTTGGTCACGGTGCTGTTAGTCTGATAAACTGTGAATAAATTGTTATGTATATATGTTGAGTCAGATGTCATTTATTGTGCCCAGATGTGTAAACAAAATTGGTAGAAGTGTTTGGAGGTCTCAGACCTCGACGCCACATTAAGTGTGTGTCCGTAGGGAAGGGGGGCATGGGGTTATGAGTAATTAGTTAGCATAATTGGTATAGCCTCAGCACGATGTTGCTATTAACTGATATAGCCTCAGCACAATAGTACTGTAACAGCCAGACATGCTAGGCCTCTCCTCCCTCTCTCTCTCCTTTTCTTTCTCTCCCCTTCTTATTATTCCTTCCTCTTTCCTGCCACTCTCCCCTTCCCCCTTCCTCTCTTCTTCCCTCTCCTTCCCCTCTCTCTACTTTCCCCGGGCCCCAGACTTCGGAGTAAGGTGATCCATATATGTATTTTAATTGTTTTCCCCCTCTGGACGGTCGAGAGGGCAGGTTTACTGTCATTTCGAATTGCAAGGTTGCCTGTCACATCTACCCTCTGTAGGCTTGCCAGTAGTATCCAGTTTTTTCGAAAAACACCACCTTTTGGAGTTTTAAAGATTGCCAGGACCTAGGTCTGGTTCAAATGGATTGGATGTAGATTAAGAAAATGGTGGAGCTTCTAGGGCAAGAGGCCTTTAGGGGTGGAGTCTTAACTTCACCTTGAAAGAAGGAGCGTAAAAGATTTTTAGTGTTAAACGGGAGTGCAAAGGGGTGGGGTGATCAACCAGGAGGCCACACCACCGGCTGAGAGGCAGTGGATAAAGGTAAGTGTCTGTTACCTGTTCCCTGTACAATTTGTAGTACATTACCATGCCTCTTAGGAATAGGATACAACATTGACATCAGGAGTGTTGCTTTGGTGACATTTCAGTCAAGTCACAGAACTATTAATTTGTATAGCCTCAGCACGATAGTACTATCAATCAGAGTAGCCTCAGCATGATAGTACAGTACAGTACTATCAATCAATGTAACAACTCTTGAATATATCTAAAAAAAAAGTAGCCTCAGCATGATAGTACTATTAATATTGCTTCAGAATTATAGTCCTGTTAATTTATAAGCCCCATTTACAAGCATGAAAACTTCCCATTCAACTGTTGTTATTGTTACAAACAGCCTCCTGGTGCTTCGGAGCTCATTAACTATTTAATAATTGTAAACAAAGCCGCCAAAGATTGAGAAAAGATGTACAGGTTCGTAAGTGTTTGCGTAAGTTGTTTCGTGAATCTGGCCCCAGCACCATAGTACTGTTACTCTATATAGCCTCGGTACTATGTTAATATTAATTTACTAGTTATTTAATGTCATTGATTTTTAAATAAAATTTACATTAAAGTGTTTAGTATTTTTACTGTGTATTTTTTTTTTGTTTGTTGGCTGGTCAGGGCAAGGGCCGTACCAAGGAGTCTGAGGCCCAGGTGACGCAGCTGCGGGAGGAGGTGTCTCAGCTTACAGTTCTGAAAGACGTTCTTACCTCTACCCACCCTGAGTCACTACTGCCAGTGGCCGCCTTGAAAGAATTAGTGTAAGCTCATGGTTGCTTTTTCTCCTTCACCTTTCCCGAAATAGGGAAATTACATTTGACACCAATTGTATCAGCGTTGAAGCCATTTAAGGGTTATTTTTCAAAAGTTATTGAAATATATTTGTTATTGTTTATATGTAACTGAGCCTCTAACCGAGTATCCACGAACATTCTATTCCAGTGTTCTCGATTAATTAGGTTTGGTTGAGGTAATTGAATACATCCTTTTTGTGACGTTGTGTCAACTCGAGAGGACGGGGCTGGGAACTTAACTACATTTAAGCCAACCCTCTGTTTACCTTCATTAAACTAACCATTCTCTAATCCAACATAGAATAAACCCTTCATTACTATGCGTTTGTCTGCAATGATTCTCTCGCGAGACACGTTAACTGTATTACAATTACTTCAAACAGTTATGACATGTTTGCATCTTTCAGCTATTTCACTAATCCAGACATGTTTTCCAGGGGTGAGGCTACCATCATTTTGGACAAGCTAAAAGAGCATTCTCAATACTTAAAGAACCAGGAAGTCTCTCTTAAAAAATAACTCCAGTTGCAACGAAACTAATTTCTTGTTTCTATTTTCAGTATAAGAATAACCTATTTTTATTTTGGTGGATTTGTTTAGCATATATTTTACATTATTTGTGTTAATTTTTAATTATGCAAGCTGCATTTTCTTTTGTTGAATAAAGGAATCTTCTCCACATATGGTTATATAACAATTTAATTATCAACAGATTACCTTCAATCTTTCGAACCCTCGATTTGCTATTTATGTAATTACTAACGTATAACATATTAATGTATCAGACATGCACCAAGGCATTAAATGCAAATAAAATCAGCATTTATTATATAGGTGAGTGAACGTGATAAAAAATAAAGAGTGTTTAAGCTTTCAGTTTTTGTTTAAGTTTCTTAGAATTTGTAAGATGTTAAAAACATTTGTGTCGAAGAGTTTAATTTAGTTTAGTTCATTTATTACGCATCCCATACCGTGGGCGGTAGGGAAAAGGGTTACAGATCGAGGCACATAAAGAGCTCAGGGACAAACGGAACCTTTTGCACCTTTCCCAACGGAAAGGTGCATGGGCTGCAATCGAAGTACTCATGGTGAGGCCACTGAGAGAGGCTTGGCAATGGGGCCACTGAGGAAGGCGTGACGATGAGGCCACTGAGGAAGGAGTGACGATGAGGCCACTGAGGAAGGCGTGACGATAAGGCCACTGAGGAAGGTGTCGCGACGCTGCTGAGGGAGGCCTCGCGTGATCACAGGCAGGCATTGTAAGGCCGCTGAGGTGTGGCAAGGCCCGTTTTATGTTCGTAGGTCCTTGGGTAGGTTAGGATAAGGCACTTTAATACGACAGTTTCTTGACGTTTGGAACGCCCGCGAGAACGAGCTGGATGCAGGCGTGACAAGGCTGCTGAGGGAGGTGAGGCGATCAGTTCGCTAAGGAATTAGGCGTTGCAAGGCCACTGAAGAGGGTAGAAATAGCCTAAGCTCTTATATCCTTCTGAGATGTATCTTATTGTCTCAATAAACGTCCTTGAACCGAGGTAGGTTCGAGTACGCCTGCCTAATCGGTAGACGTACTGATTAGGCCGCTGTAAGAGGCAGGCTGAGAGCCTGAGACCACTGAAGAAGACATGATAAAGCCGCTGTGGAAGGTATAATGAGGCCGCTCCGTGAAGCATAATGGGACCACGGAGGGAGGCATAGCGAGGCCACTGGGGAAGGAAAGATGAGGCCGCTGAAGGAGACATTATGAGGCCGCTCAGGGAAGCGTACAATGAGGCTGTTAAGGGAGGCGTATATAGCGTGGCCATTAAGGGAGGTGTATATAGTGTGACCTTTAAGGGAGGCGTATATAGCGCGGCCATTTATTTTATTTATTTATTAAGGGAGGCGTATATATCATGGCCATTTATTTTATTTATTTATTAAAGAGGCGTATATAGCGTGGCCGCTGATGGAGGCGTATATAGCGTGGCCGCTGAGGGAGGCGTATATAGCGTGGCCGCTGAGGGAGGCGTATATAGCGTGGCCGCTGAGGGAGGCGTATATAGCGTGGCCGCTGAGGAAGGCGTATATAGCGTGGCCGCTGAGGGAGGCGTATATAGCGTGGCCGCTGAGGGAGGCGTATATAGCGTGGCCGCTGAGGGAGGCGTATATAGCGTGGCCGCTGAGGGAGGCGTGGCGGGGCCGGGCGTGAGACGTCAGCTGACTCGTGTCAACAAAGCAGTGAGCCAGTGTTGCCAGATTGGGCTACAAATAGCGAATTGGGCTACTTTTGAGAGCCCCGCGCTCCCAATTTTTTAATTTCGCTATTTGCTACTTTTTGGACTAATTTAAAAGCAAGATGTGCTAATTTGGGCTATTAATGTTAAGAAACTCAATTATGATTATTTAGGATCAGATGCAACACAAACAAGTGTTGCATGATTTATTTAAATGTTGCATGTTGCATTTAAATGCGAGCACAGCACGCAGAGTTAGTTTAGTTCATTTATTATGCACCCCATACCCACCTTGTGGGCGGTAGTGGAAAGGGTTAAAGAGGCACATAATGGGCTCAGGGACTGAACCCCACAATTCATTTAGCTAAGCAAGTTACAATCTTGATGAGCTAGTTACAAAATTCAGTATAAGTCGTCACATCAACAATGGGTTCGAGATCGACCACAAGTACAGTTTCTATATTAAGCAACTGACATATGTGGAGAGCTAGTGTCACAATTGATATGTTTGTCCTGCACACCGCCCCCCATCCAGTGGGCAGCGGTGGATAGGTTACAATCACTCTTCGTTACTACCTACAGTTAGCAAACTGGGAATATTTGGCTAAGATTTCTGGTAGCAGATCATTATGAATGAAATAGTTACACATCTTTGGAACATTGGTTATAGAATTGTCTCGGAGTGCGAACGTATCTTTTCGCACTCCATCACATAGTGACGGAGGGTGTGCGAATAATTTTGTTGGCAGTTTACATTTGGTCAGGACTACATCAGATAATGAGAATTCCCAGAGATACTTGTAACAGAGTCTAAGCCGAGCAGTTGTAACATCTAGAAGTCTGCTGATTTTACTGGATGATCCATAGATGTGTGGCTCCTCTTGCATGATAGTATGATGATAGATGGAATTAAGGATGTCGATTTTACTTTCTCATATCTTCAAGATTTTGTTGAAGTTCTTGGTGTACTATTGCTCTCAGACTGCTTATTGACAATCCAAGGTTAAACTCAATTTCTCCTTTAAAGGCAGATTCGGTAGATAAAAATAATTTGTTTACCACAGGGGGTACTCGAACAAGGGGACACAGGTGGAAACTGAGTACCCACATGAGTCACAGAGACGTTAGAAGGAACTTTTTCAGTGTCAGAGTAGTTAACGGATGGAATGCATTAGGCAGTGATGTGGTGGAGGCTGACTCCATACACAGTTTCAAATGTAGATATGATAGAGCCCAGTAGCCTCAGGAATCTGCACACCAGTTGATTGACAGTTGAGAGGCGGGCCCAAAGAGCCAAAGCTCAACCCCCGCAAGCACAATTGGGTGAGTACATATTGTTACCATTTCGGACACAAAACTAGTATGTTACGTATACTTATATATCATTGTTCAATATTAAAACCACAATATAATGCTATTAACAAATTAAAATCTTCTACTTAACAGGCATATAGTTATCAAATGAAGTTGAGTGATGTGATGAACATATTCCGGGCTTCATAAGAACGACGCACGCCAGTGTTAACAACTTACATCTGAAGGACCACAAACATGGTCGAACGCACAAAACACTTAACTGTATTTACGGGCTATTCATGCCCGTGTCACCTTTTAGGTGGCTTAATCTTTAGCAATCAATTAATCACTTGACTATGGCCAGTTTTTGAGTAGACTCCTATTACATTTACTGTGTGATAGTTATACTTAAATATAATAATTTGTATTAAGGGTAAACGCCTAACATGTAATATTAATTAATAAAAACACACGCCTATCTCCACATGTCTATTGTGTAAAAGTAAAGTTAACGTAAAAAGTATAAGTAAAGTTAAAGTTGTGTTCTTCTGCCCGAAACGCTACGCGTGTTAGTGGTTTTACAAGAATGTATAAACATCAATGCTATGTACTCTCATAAACCCATTGTACCTTCTTGTATATATATAAAAATAAATAAATAAAGTATTTTGGGCGCTCATGTACTTGTGCGCTGGCTGGCGTTCACAACTGATCTAGTCTTCAAGGACTAGATTTAGTCAATCATAATGATAATAATGTTTATTTACTTAGGAGGAATAAATTTCTGGACACACTGATTAATAATGGGCATCATTAATAATCGTAACATTATATTAATTTATTTTTTGTTATATTAAAATAAAGTTAACAGAGTTTTGGCATTTACGGCTTCGGCGGGTAGGCGGTTCCATGGGTTAATAACCCTGTGGGTGAAAAAGCATCTCCTGTTGTCAGTCCTACATTTGTGGCTTGTTGAGCTTGAAACCGTTGCTCCTTGTTTGTGTTACATCTGACCTTCTGAAGAAATTGTCTGGACCAATCCCTCATTCTTATCGACCTTGCCTACTTCACTATTTGACTTGTTATATGATGAGTTTATTGGATACGACTCCTCCCTCTGGCATTCACTTAGCAACCATTCCACTTCTGGTAGTGGCCTTAGTATACATAGCTTAGTTAACTTCTGTGACTCATTTAACCCATAATTAACTAAGACTATGATTATTGTTTACTTAAGGATTAAATTCACACTTCACAAATGTGTGGAGTGTGATTGACAAATGTGTCAATCAATCATCGGGAAGAATGTACGATTGCGAGTTACATGAAAGTAACTAAGCTATAAATAATTGTAATTAATAATAATTGTAAAGATTAATTAACACTAAATAATATTATTTAATAAATTAGTCCCAATTCAATGCAGAATTTTCTTCCAAGCACAGAAACTTGTAAATATAAATACAAGATAATAGATAGATCGATAAATAAATAGACAACTTTCAAATATTGCACCAAGTAATGGCGAGAGGAAAAAACTAGACAGTATGCATTACATTTGAAATTAATAATGGATGAATGGTAATAAATTGGTGTATGTTTGTATGTATACCAGACAAAGTCCATTTAATGGCAGAATTTAACCATTTTTGTTTTATATCTCATATTATTAATTACAACAGTAATCGAAAAAAGTCATAGTTTGTATAAACAAGAGACGAAACAGCGAGCCATGAGCTAGAGCGATGTGCTGAGTCCATAAGGAGGCCGAGCTTCCAGAAATACCTTCCTGTGATTGGCTGTTGCGGGGAATACCAACACTCTTTTATGAATAAAATTTTAACTAAGAAATAGGTCCTTGTACACAACAACAAGGTTGTTGTGAAAAAGAATAACAATTTCAGTTTTGCACCTGACAGAAATCTCCATCTAACTGAATAATTTACTCGAATAAGAGGGCAAAGCAGTGTATCATTATTTGTGTCACGGCAACCCACACTGATGACGTCACAAGTCAGGTAGCCAGCCCATGTTTCTGTAACACCCGTTACATCCTGCAGTATTTAATTATCACTATATTACTATTTTTAAATAGTTAACATTTCAATTTTTAGTTAGAATAAAGTTGAAGCAGAATGTCATAAGCAAGGATGGTGTGCTGAATAAAGATGATTTATTAAGTGGATGGAGCCGTTAGCTGATCCCTTCCTGTGATTGGCTGTTGTGTGAATGTCAGCAAAGCGTTTCTACCAATGATATGCCATTTATTATGCACCCCATACCATCTGTGGGCGGAGCTTGGAACCTCCTACCCGAGCACAACAACCCGCCTTATGGGTTGCTGTTTGGCTATTTATAGTGCGTTGG